AGCTGACAACTCTTCCCAAAGGAAAGAGAGCAATCGGAGTTAAGTGGGTGTACAAGGCAAAGAAGAACGCTAAAGGAGACGTAGAAAGATACAAAGCAAGATTGGTTGCCAAAGGTTACAACCAACGGTTGGGAATTGATTATGAAGAGGTATTTGCTCCTGTTGCTCGTTTAGAAACCATAAGATTAATTATCTCTCTTGCAGCGCAAAATAAGTGGAAGATATTTCAAATGGATGTAAAATCAGCTTTTCTAAATGGTTATCTCGAAGAAGAAATCTATGTGGAGCAACCAATGGGTTATAAAGTAAAAGGACATGAAGGTAAAGTCTTGAAACTAAAAAAGGCTTTATATGGGTTGAAACAGGCTCCAAGGGCATGGAATAGTAGAATTGACAAGTATTTTCTAGAAAATAACTTCACAAAATGCCCTCACGAGTATGCCCTTTATACAAAGGTAAATGAGAAAGGAGATATTTTGCTTATTTGTTTGTATGTAGATGATCTTATATTTACAGGAAATAATCAAAGCATGATCACTGAGTTTAAGAAGGTCATGGCTCAAGAATTTGAGATGACGGATATCGGCCACATGGCCTACTATCTTGGGATAGAGGTAAAGCAAATGGAGGACTGCATTTTCATCTCACAAGAAGGATATGCGAAAGAAATTCTACAGAAATTCAATATGGAGGACTGTAAGCCCGTATGCACCCCCGTCGAATGCGGAATCAAGTTGACGAAGAATGATGAAGGTGAAAAAGTAAATCCAACACTTTTTAAGAGTCTTGTTGGAAGTCTAAGATATTTGACGTACACAAGACCAAATATCCCTTTTGGAGTTGGGCTCATTAGTCGCTATATGGAGACACCTACCATGACCCATATGAAAACTGCAAAGAGAATTCTTCGCTACATCAAAGGTATACTTGATTATGGCTTAGTCTATTCATCATCTAATGAGTTCAAACTTGTTGGATATAGTGACAGCGATTGGGGCGGAGATAGTGATGATAGAAAGAGTACGATTGGGTACGTGTTTTACTTGGGCGACACAGCTTTCACTTGGAGCTCAAAGAAGCAATCGATCGTAGCACTATCTACATGTGAAGCTGAATATGTTGCAGCTACATCAAGTGTCTGCCATGCGATTTGGCTTAGAAACTTGTTGAAGACGCTTGGAGTATCACAAGAAGAGCCAATCGAAATCCATGTTGATAACAAATCGGCATTGGCATTGGCAAAGAACCTAGTATTCCATGATAGAAGCAAGCACATTGATACAAGATATCACTTCATAAGAGAAAGCATTACAAAGAAAGAAGTGTAGCTGAAATATGTAACCTCCCAGGAGCAGATCGCCGACATTCTCACTAAACCACTCAAGCATGATGTGTTCCGCAAGTTAAGAACTCTACTTGGAGTAGCAAAATCAAGTTTAAGGGGGGATGTTGAGTAGTAAACTTGATTTTTGGACTAAATAATATGGGTTTAAGGATTTTGCTTATAGACCCAAATCAATTAAAAGGCCCAACATGTATAACATTTCTAGAAGCATTATCTAGAAAAATCTATATAAATATCTACTAGAAATATCTATATAAATATCTAAGTAAGATATAAAGAATATCTAGAGAATTCTAGGAAAATATCTTGATATGTGGTATAGGTGTCTCTAGAAAATGTGTGGACTAGAATCTTCTTGTAAACACTATATAAAGGGATAGTGCCCTCCATTTTGTAACAAACCAAAAAGTGTGTAGAGTCTTGAATTTGAGAAATACAAGTTTCCTTTTTTTCACTTCCTTCTTCCTATTAGTGTTGTCCTCTTAAAAGCCTTAGTTAATCCAAGTTAGTAAACCCATCTTTCCTCCAACAATTTCAAACATACAGAAAATTAAAAGCTATTATTATGACAAATCTAGGGACAAGACTAATTATTTCCAAAAAGAAAAAAAAAACCCTCAATTAAAGCGAATATGAAATTGACATACCTAGTGTAGTTACTACAATGTATCAGACAACAGGTACATTTAAAGGTTGCATTTTATGATTTACGCAATTCTCAAAGAATTAATTGGACCCCATTTTTTTTTTTTTTACCAAAAAATGTAATTTGTCATAATGACCTTTTTGAAAATGTGTGGCTAAAAAGTAGGGAAAGATTTTGAATTTATGTGCAAATTATTTTATTGAGAAAATGTGATTAAAAATGAGTTTAGAAAAAAAAATTTGAATAATAAGGCTCAAATAGGAGCTTAAATGATCACATAAAAAAGTATGAGCATAACAAAGAGATAATGAAAATAAACATCTCATGTGCCTATAAGTAACACAAAAAAATTTTAATCAATGGATGAATAATAAACAAAAAAACATACCTAGCTCGACGATAGGGTTATCCACAACAATCGCAATCTGTTTCCTGCTTAGTAAATAAACAAGAACCATTTGGCAAACAATCTTGGAATTATATTTAAAGATCACGGTCTAGTTCACCAAAGGATATAAAAGATTTCTTCTAGTTCTATGTTAGACCTTCCTCAAATGCTCGTATTGCCAATTTACGAGTCCAAATACTCTATACTGAAAATTCTTAAGCTAATCCCCTATATCTCCGTAAACCATTTGTAGAACTTTGCTGCATTGTCGGTAGGCTCACCATCATCATATTTGCAATCACTAAACAACCACCAAAACATAAATTGCATACTAACTCATTTTTACCCTCTGATTTTTTGGCCGATTTAGATATGTATTCATTGTTGAAACCTAATATCATTTGCACAAAAATAACTAATCACTATATGTTTGGCACAAGTATATGCACTAATTTGTGTTTTTATTTAATTTAGATATGGCTAGAAGTTAGAATTGATGAATTTACGTGGCAAGAAAGAAGAATGCCAAAGTTTCCTCACCTAACTTCTCATACTTTTCATCATCGGTGGCATAATCATCCTATGATGATAAAAAGAAAAGAAATATCAATTGAATCAAGATCAAAGATTTACTCAATAAACAAGCAAAGCATAAGTTGGTGATCCTAATTGATGTCTATCATTTATACCAGATTAAGCATCTTCCATACCCTTACCCTTCCTTCCATCAGATTGTCGCAGTGATCCTAATTGCCAAAAACACAATCTCTATAAAGTTGTACTAATTTATGTTCATGTATCAATATTGATATATCAGTTAAGTTGGTGACTTGATGGATAAGTAGCCCATGAAAATTCCATAAATTTAAAATTAATTTACTTATAGATAAGTATTCATTTTATTTTTGTTATGGAAACTTTAATTCAAAAGTACAACATAAAGTTGTTGAACCTCAGTGAATAGTAATTTTGATCAAATAAAGCAGCTTGATATCTTCAAGCAACTCATTGAATTGACCAAATATAATGGCCAATAAAAATGTAGCTTGCACTAATTTTACGATTATATTTGAATACTGTTAGTTGAATTTAATGTAAATATCTTCGATTAGTTTTTGTGATCATAGCACTACAAGAAAAATAGCATTTTGCAACATGCGAAATTTGTTGTCATGGGTCTTTTGCAACGTGCTCCTATACGTTGTGACCTTCGATGTTACCATATAAGAGTAAAAATATTTGTAGTCATTATGTACATAATGAGAGAGAGAGAGAGAGAGAGAGAGAGAGAGAGAGAGAGAGACTCAATTATTGTAATATTTGTTTTCTCTTTCATATCATCTTGATGCAATAATATACAAATAACATTACTAACCATAGAATAGACGAATATGATCACACATAATGCATGTTACAAAATACCTCAAATGCACATTGCCATTACGATTTTGTAATGTTCATTGCAAGTTGCCATTAATTGTTTTAGCGACCTGTATTACTAATTCTGCCTCTAAGTGGCCAAATTTTTCTTGACAAACCACCTTTGACCAACCCTAATCATATGTTCTTTTGTTAATTTGTAGATAATGAAACATGTGCTAATTGCATTGCGAAATCATTTTTGATACGTAAACTTAATTATGACACTTTTTGACAAGTCTAGCTTGACAATTATTCAACCATCAAACTGCCTTTTGGTATGCTTTGTATGCAATGTATTTGACAAAATAATCGACAAACTTTATAAGATGAACAATTCACCTTTCCTTTAATATTGTACCGTCTTATCTTATCTAGTGTATTAAGCATGTTCTTTTAATTTTGATATCTATCGTTTATACCAGATTAAGTCATTGTTTAACCCCATTTTATTTTTCTTCAAATTTATCTTCAACAACTCATTTTATGAGACTCGTAACTTTAATCAATTTTTTATATTTCATCGAAAACTACTAAAAATCTGACTTTTAACTAAATCAAACAAGGGCTGATTAGCCAGCAAGTTGGCTAGTTGATTCTATAAATAATTCATTTGTAATGTATGAAGTTGCACGTGTTCATGCAGTACACATAACATAACATACAATACACACAAAAAATGCCATCAGACCTTCCATTGAAAGAAATCCCAGGTGGCTATGGCTTACCCTTTTTCGGCCCGATTAAAGATCGCGTCGATTTCTACTACAAGCAAGGCCAAGATGAATTCTTCAGGGCCCGAATGCAAAAATATAACTCAACAGTATTTAGGGTTAACAACCCTCCGGGCCCTTTCAATGCAAAATATTCAAAAGTTATTGTTCTTCTTGATGCGATTAGTTTCCCAATCCTTTTCGATACGTCAAAAGTCGAAAAGAAAAATGTGTTCATAGGGACTTATATGCTGTCCATTCATTGTACAGGGGATTATAGAATTTGTGCATATTTGGATCCTTCTGTGCCCAAACATGCCATTCTCACAGGTTTTTACTCGTCACTTCTCAAAAAATTACACGAAAAAATCATCCCCACTTTTCGGAGCTCGATTTCTGACCAATTTGTCAATCTTGAAGATGAATTATCTGAAAAAGGGAAAGCAAATCTCAATACTATTAGTGACAAAATTGTCGTTCGACTTTTTGTTTCGTTTGTTTGTTAGTAAAGGCCCGTGCAATACTAGTCTTGGCCCGAATGGAAATACCTATCTCGATAAATGGTTGTTTTTCCAACTTGCTCCATTGATCACGCTAGGGTTGAAATTTTTACGAAATTGCCTTGAAGATTTAGCTTTGCACACATTTCCGTTGCCGTATTTTCTCTTAAAATCTGGTTAGGAGAAAGTGTTGGTCTCAAGATCGATAACATACAAAGTGAATTTGTTCAGAAAATGAAAAATCCCAGAAAGTAATAACACCAAGAATTTTCGCCCCGTATGGCCTAGATGTTCAGCCGGAGCCTACTCACCTGTTGAGCATCTACAAAGTAGATTTGGCTCAAATCCACTAAGAATCACAAAGAATCGATACAAATGTATGAAGAAACAGAGTTCCTTCACTTATGTTTTCTTTCGCCTCCCTTTTAGAAGAAATTGCTCTCCTCACAATCTCTCATACTGTATACAAAATACAACTCAATCATCACTAAGAAATTTACAGAGATTGGACTCAAAATCACGAAGCAGTAAGAACTTTCGGGAAGGAAGGAGACGAAGCGAAAACCCTAGAAGATAATAGGACCGTACCACATCAAAAAGGCAAAGGGAGGACTTTATAGTGCAGATAAAACGTCCAAATCCAACGGTTCAGATTGAGCTAGATGAAGGGCCAACAATTAATCTCACATTTAAGAGAATAGGCATGTTTATCAGAAAACACACTTTACTTAAATCCAAGACCCGGTGGCCCAACAGATTGTCCAAAGTTCAGATGAATTCGGCCCAATCAAGAATAGAGAGGCAATCCACAACAATCTCCACCTTGCTGATCTATTCTTGGAATTCTTTTGTGGATTTAAAAGACCTAAAACACTTGTTTCATTTGCTCTACACAGCCTGTAGAAAAAGAAAAACAGTTAGTTTATATTCAAAAACATTACACAAAGAAAAAACTAAAATTGAATCAATTACCTTCAACAGATGTTCAAAATTTTTAAACAGTTCCTGAACTTATTTAAGGGCAATACCTTAGTACCAATATCAGAATGATTAAATTCAGTTGGGATTTTAACCAAATTAATGAGACCATTTCAACCATATTTCTGACAAAATGAAATTTAATGTCAACATGCTTAGTCCGATCATGGTATACAGGATTTCTGCTCAAATGAATTGCACTTTGGTTGTCGTATATATTCTAACAACCTCATTTACAAAACCAATTTCACCCAACAAGCCCCTTAACCACAATCATTCTTTAACAGCATCACATGCTGCTATATACACAGCTTCTGTAGAAGACAATGCTACCAGTTTTTGTAATTGTGACTTCCAACTAATACACCCATCACAAAGAGTAAATACATAAGAAGAAGTTGATCTTCTTTTATCTAAATCACCTACAAAGTCAAAATCTATATAGCCTTTTAGAATAACACCTTCATTACATCTTTGAAATTTTAATCCTAGTTTTGTTGATCCTTTTAAATATCTAATCATCCACTTAATTGTTAACCAATGTGTTTCAACTGGATTAGCCATAAATCTACTAAGAATGCTTATTCCATGAGCTAAATCAGGTCTTGTACATATCATGAGATACATAATTGAACCAACAACATTAGCATAAGGTATTTTACTCATTCTACCATACTCTTCAACAGTTTTTGGGGATTGTTCATTAGAAAGCTTGAAATGATTTGCTATAGGTAAAGTCATAGGTTTACATTCGATCATAGCAAATTTTCCAAGTATCTTATTAACATAAGAATTTTTTATTTACATACAAAATGCAATTTTTTCTGTCTCTTTTAATCTCCATTCCTAAAATTCTCTTTGCTTGTCCTAAATCCTTCATTTCAAATTCAGTTTTGAGTTTTTCTTTAACAAAATCAATTTCAGATCTATCACGGCAAGCAACAAGTATATCATCAACATATAGAAGAAGATAAAGGGAATCAGGTCTTCCTGATCCTTTGAAGAACAAAAAAGAGTCAAAATTACTTTTAATAAATCCCAGATTTTGAACATAAGAGTAAAATTTCTTATACCATTGTTTGGGTGCCTGTTTTAAACCATAGAATAACTTTTTTAACTAGCAAATTTGGTCTGATTTTTTATTCATTTCAAAACCCTTTGGCTGATTCATATAAATGGTTTCTTCTAGATCACCATCTAAGAAGGCTGTCTTAACATCAAGCTAGTCCAATTCCCAGTTGAAATGTGCTGTTAAGGCTAACAAGATTCTGATAGAGGTGTATTTAACAACAGGTGAAAATATCTCATTATAATCAATTCCCTTTCTTTCTGTAAAGCCTTTTGCCACAAGTCTGGCCTTATACCTTATACCTCCAGATTCAGGTTCACCCTCTTTAACTTTGTAAACCCATTTACAATCAACAACCTTTTGATGTTTAGGTCTATTGACAAGGGTCCAAGTTTTATTCTTTATTAGGGAATCCATCTCCTCTTGCATGACATCTATCCAAAATTTTGATTCTTTATAATTTACTGCATCTTCAAAGGTTGGTTGTAGGTTCATAATTAACAGATTCGAGTTCAGTATAAAAAGTCACAAATTCATCTGGGTTAATTCTAGTGGAAGGGAATCCATTTTTTCTACCTCTGTCCCTAATCAATTGATAATTGTCAAGAACGGTTTCTTGAGATTGATTTGCAATATCAGGTTCATTTTGGGGCTGAATTATATCAGATTGAGTGGTCTCCACCTCAATCAAATTATCTGGTTCATTAGGATCACTTTCTAGACTCTCAAGGACTGTTTCTTTAACATGAGTTATTCCAGTTGTGTTATGATCTGATGCATTTTTGCAAGAAAACTGACTTTTATCAAAGATTACATTTCTACCAATAATAACTCTGAACCCATCTTTACCTTTTACCCATAGCCTATAACCTTTTGTTTCTTCTCCATAACCCAGAAACACATTTTTGAGATCTGGGTTCAAGTTTGCCTATATCTTGATGAGAGTAGGCAGCACATCCAAAAACCCTCAGTTTAAAATAATTTGGAGACTTTCCAGGCCACAGATATTCAGGGATTTGAAAATTAATAGCACTTGAGGGAATTTTATTTCTCAAATAAGTGGCAATTTTTAAAGCTTCCCCCCAAAATAATTTTGGAAGACTAGAACTAAGTAGCATACATGTGACCTTTTTCAACAAAGTTCTATTCATCCTCTCAACAATGTCATTTTGCTGAGGAGTGTATGTTACAGTTCTGTGTCTTAGAATTCCAGATTCTTTACAAAATGAATCAAATTCAAAGTTACAAAATTCAAGCCCATTATGTGTTCTAAGTGCTTTGATTTTCTTAGTTGTCTAATTTTCTATTATAAGTTTCCACAGTTTAAAAGTTTGGAAAGTATCATATTTGTGTTTTAAAAGAAATGTCCAAATTTTTCTTGAGAAATCATCTGCAATTAAAAGATAATATCTAAAACCACTTAGAGTATTTACTGATGCTCTACCCCACAGGTCACCATGTAGATACTCAAGTATAGAGGTGAATTTATGAATTCCAATTTTAAAAGGCATTTTTTTTTGTTTATCAAGTACACAATCTTCACAAAACTCAAGTTTTTCAATGTTATCATTTTCAAAACATTTTAATTTGTTCAAAATAGTCAATCCCTTTTCACTAATGTGTCCTAGTCTCCTATGCCAAATTAGGGTTTTGTTATCATTTGACTTTACAACTGCAGAGTTATTTCCAACCAAAAGTTCAGCTTGCAGTGTGAAGATCTCATTAGATTTAGGAGAAGAAATGATTTCTTTGGAGTTTATACTTATTTTAGTTAATCCTTTGTGGATTATAATTTCATATTCATCATCTAAGTGCCCAAGAGAAATCAAATTTCTTTGAAGGTCAGGTACATATCTTATTTGGGACAGTTCAAGGATATTATTATTTTCTAACGGAAGCTTAAGGTTTCTAATACCTGTTATTTGACAAGTCATGTTATTTCCCGTTTGAACTTGACCACCACTAAGTTCAGTAAAGTTAGTGAACCATTCTTTTATAGGACACATATGAAAAGAACACCCAGAATCTAATACCCATTCATTTAGGTTCCTCTTTGATGTGGTAACAAGGACAACTCCTTGTATATCAGATTCATTATTGCAAGCAATAACTTCAGCCCCATCTGCATTTGTTCTTCCTTTCATATCAGACATTTTCTTAAAACATTCTTTTATGATGTGTCCAATTTTACCGCAATAATAACACTTTCTGGGTAGTAGTTTAGGTTTTATTTGAGATTTATTTTGATTTCTGAATTTTTGAAATTGAGGCTTTCATTTCTTGTGGGAATTGAAATTGCACAGATTGTCTGATTGGTCCTTTTATTTTGATTTACCTTTTCCCTAACATTTAGACCTTTCCCAAACGCTTAGAATCTTTAGTTTCAGATTTTAATTCAAGTTCTTTGTTTCTTAAAGATGATATAACAATATTAACTGTAAGATCAGTTTTTCCATACTCTAAAGCATTTCTCAGATCTCTGTATTTATCACCTAGTGCATTTAACAGAGCAACAACTTGTTGATCTTCAGACAGTTCCTCTTCACAGTCAGATAATTCTTGAAC